GTTTTTACAAATTGATGTCGAATTTTTCGACCCTACCTTAGTTCTGTAACCTTTTGTCTTCCGGTCCACAGACTGGCCTTTCTGTTATTGATACGAATGGAGCTGTTAAGGCGTAATGTGGTGTATATTTTCCTTCACCCTTATTTTAAAATTTCAAGCTGTAGCAATGATTATATGCATCTGAGTATTTTAAGGAAGCCTTAATATCCCTTCGGAGGTTTATGATGAACAGATACAAACCCTTCAAATCTCATATTATTGCGAAATGTTTTGTTAAATTAGGAATTATTCTGTTAAAGTGTGAACATTATTTAAACGAGAAATTATTGATTTTGCGAAATTTAAGATGTCCATCTGACTTTAAAATTATAAAGTCATGTGATCAGACGCTGCATTTAATATTTCTCCAATATAAAAGCATGTTGCGTTTTCAGTTAAACTGCAGGGCTATTTTTTCTAGCAACGTTATCACAAGGAGCACACTACAAATGTGACTTCCCAATGGTTAGTGTTCACTCTGTTCTTGATTTGTACCGCTCAAATGACCATTTGAGTCAAATGTCACAATATTACTTTCAACCTATTTAAATTTTCTTTACAATCTTTTTTTTTTGACAGAATTTTCATTTCAAACATTTGATTCACGTCATCAAACGAATAATCTACTTGATTTAGAAACTCATGTTTGTACTCTTTCTCAGGTCATCTTTCACTTACAATAAATTTAAACTTAAATTAAAAACGTACATTGAAAACTACATAAAAATCTACACCTGCAGACTTTATATTAAAGTAATGGTTTGGTATTTTCTTTCAGATAAGCAAGGGGAATTGTTATTTTGCACTCCTTGTAAAGAATTATTGACAAAAATCTACAAATAATTTAAGTACAAGTATATCATTAACCTGTGATAAACTGTGTGTTAATTAATGGAAAATTTCACAAACCACTTTCAATTATAAAGATCATTTTGATAAGCACTGGTGTGTTGTTGAGAATGGAGTGATATTCTATATCCATCGTGATACATTTTAAGGTTTATTTTCCATTTGAAGAACATGACAAATAGTTATCAAGCTTACATGCAATGAAAAACAGTTATCTGCATTATGTCTCTTCAACAAAATGAAAATGATTGTAAAATGAAAATGATTGTGGTAAGAAATTTTAATTAAGTTAAGTTCATTTTATTTCAACATAAAAAGAACAAAATGTTCGATAGAAGGTGTTTCTAACAGAATGAGGATTGCCAGATTGTTCCCTGTTTATGTATTTCAAATGTTGAGAATTTTGTTACATTTGTGTCGTGTTGGTTATCTCCTCTCTCCTTTTCTCTCCCCTTCTCTCTCTCTGGTTTTTGTACAACGGGATAGTATCATCTGGAGGATGCTGATGTAAGTTGAATAGGATAAGTAGCAGGAACAGTAATTGATTTACAAATAATCAGATTTGAGCTGAATAAATTTATAGAATTAAAGGCATCATAAAAACAATTTCTAATTTTGAAGGAAGTCATGTTCTTGTTTTGTTTGAATTGTAAAACTGCAAGGATGAAAATTGACAGAAAGGGAAATGTCTAAACGATGTGTAAAATATACAGGAAGCATTTTTTTCTTTACCTATGGCTACTTATTTTATGTCTATTCATGGTTAACATATTTCTTAAAGATTTCTTTGTACTGCTAATAATTAAGGTATACAATGATGTACGCATAACATATTTTATAAATATAATTTCCTGTAGAAAAATTTAAACTAAGTAAATCTATTTATTTAAGACCTGAAGCTTATCATTTTAAATGAATATCAGAAGGAAGTAAATATGTTTATTCAGAAATGAAATAGTTGTGCATATTAAAAAAAACAACACAAAAATACATGTTAATCTGAATACATAAGGGAAGCCATTATAAAATATGAACATTTTACTGCTTCTGATCAGTTTTCTGGAATCCTCTTTTGTTCCAGCAATTTGTCTATGTAAGAAATTTATACAATTACAATGAGGAAATTATTGATTGACACATGTACATTATGAACACGTTTATGTATTGTTTCCCAATAAAATATTTATTTTTAATATCTTTTGTTTTACTTGGACTATAAAATCAAAAAATGGCATACACCATGATCAAGGTTTTTTTAAATCATGCTTAAAAATTTCTACAAACAATTTTTCTCTCGGCTAAACGAATCTGACAAATCAACAATGAAGACGTCAAAAGCTTCCTCGTACACAGCCAATTGTGCCTAACGTTAATTTAACATGAAAATAATGTTAATTTAACATTAAATATTTAACGTTAAATTAACGTCAATCGAGCTTATACATGAATTTAACGTTAAAAAATTAACGTTAAATTAACGTTATTTTCATGTAAAATTAATGTTAAGCGTTAAATTAACGTTAATTAGTTCACACTAATTTAACGTTAAAATGCATAAAAATTGTGTGCATATTTTTGGAATTTTCCTTCCTATTCTTCTTGAAAAATACATGATCTTGCATCATAGCAGAAGCTTAACTGATACTACATGTAATCATAATTATATCTCTAAAGGTACACCAGAAGCTCATCAATTTTGCACTTTTCCTTGTAGCACTGCAGAAAGCTAAGCTTGCATGTTGACTTCATCCCTGGTGTCACTTTCTTTTCAATCTGAATATATCCAAAAGGATAAAGGGACCCATCAGCTCTTTCAACAAAATCTCTTAAATTATGAGCATTGCCTCCGATTTCAAATTTTCTGAAGAAAAGAAAAAAAACACCAATTCATCCATTAATACTTTTAATCTGGCATATTCAATACAATGCTACAAATCTTCTTTCTTTTTCCAATCTGAAATAGAAGAGAGGCAAACACATATATTATAATAATTATATGAAAATAAAATACTTCAGCAATACATTAACAACTCAAATTTGTCTGAAATATATTGAATGAAACAATAGGTCCATTGGCCACATCCCTCCCCTGAGCATATGGGCTAGCTAAAAACACAGATCAGTTAAGTATTGAGAAGCTTACTTCATACTTATTTGGGGGAGGGGGATTTGAATTTTCTATTACTTGAAAATGTCACTATTACAATACAGCATACATATATCATTTTGCCATACTTGAAAAGAAGATTTTTAAAGATTTTTCCAACACATTACCTGATCTCCCATTGTGACCCCTCGCTAACCCCAAATCCCTAGGGCATTATTTGAATAAATTAAAATTTTTACTACTTGCAGATCATGTCAATGTGACAAAACAATTTTTTTCTGTTCTAGAGAAGATTCTTTTTCCTATGTATTCTTATGCAAGTCTGTGATCCCTCATTGTGGCCACACCTAAACCCGGGGGTCATGATTTGAACAAATTGAATCTACATTTAGTACCCATGGATGTTTCCACATCACGTCATGAGATTAATCATTCCTGTCCTAATGGTTCTGAAGAAGATTTTTAAAAGGTTTTTCCTATGCATTCCTATGTAAAATTTTGGTTGGCCACTGTGGCCCCATCCTACCCCCAGGGGTCATGATTTGATCAAACTTGAATCTACACTACCTGAGGATGATTCCACATAAATTTGGAGAAGATTTTAAAAAGGTTTTTCCTATGCATTCCTATGTAAAACTTGGAAACAAATTTGAATCTACACTACAGGGGTCAAGAGGTCATAGATGTGTGTATCGATAAATGTTCAACGGAATTTCACAGTGACGTCATAATGGGTCGACACGCATTCAGTGTCTTGTATACATGCCATTGGTTTTGAAAAATAATGCATTTCGCATGTTAAAAGCCACAAACAGCGTGATCAGGCATATATAAAGTATGAATAAGTCACAAATGGAAATATAAGTAATAACGTATCATTTTAAAACATCAACGGGCTATAAATACAGGTTGGTACGAGATTAAATTCATTATAAAGCCCTTCAGGCTTTATGGAATTTAATCTTATAAGTCATGACCAACTGATATTAATGTCCGGATAGATGTTTAAAAATACCTTATTTCTTAAGTAAGACTGAAAGTCCCCCCCCCCTGGGTTGAAGAGGCTTGAAAGTACACTATCTGAGGATGCTTCCATTTAAGTTCCATCTTTCCTGGCCCAGTGGTTTTTGAGAAGAAGTTGAAAATGTGATCTGAAAAGTTCACTTGAGCTTTCGGCTCAGGTGAACTAAAAAGCTACTAGTATTTAAAAACTATATGCTTCCATATATAATTACTATACAGAGAGACTGGCAAACAGACATTGTGTTTCCAGTATACTTTCAAAAAAAATTAGGGGTGACATATTAAATGGGTTTAAATATTTGATATGTGTTCAGAATAAATGCACTTTACCTGGTATTTCGAAGATTGCTTAAGGTGATGAAATATATTCACTTTCTTGTGATTATCATGTTCATGTCAGCAAGACTTTATACTGAGTTAACCTACAATTATAAAAAAAATAATTAAAAATCATTTATTTGAAATGTAATATCTTCAACATATATGATATTCATAGATAGAAACCAAATTTCATGTGCAGCATCTGATTCAAAGCAAACTTTTAGTACAGTGAAAGCAACTTGGCTTTAAATTTGTCTCTTTAGCATAAACTCTAGATCAATTTATAAAATTTTTCTAAATGAAAATTATGAATACACTATGTATGTACTATTTTATAAATAACCTTTATTCCTCCATGGTTATCCGGAAAAACATCAATTCAAGGAGGCACCAAGGAATGGTATATAGAGGCTGTAGTCTGCTATTTTCTCCATGTCTTGCATACAAGTATCTTTTCTGTATTATGCAGTAAAGGAAAAAATCTTGATTTAATAATGCTTATAAAATGTTTCTGAACAAAATATTGACAAGTGTCAAGTAGTGACAAGTAATTAACTGGTATTTTAAAAAATCAGTTGGGGTGTGTGAATGTAAATTTCACTGTCATTACATTTACTCTGGGAATTGTTTACATTTTGTTTCACTTTCAATACCTGTTTTGAGTTCCACTGGCATTATAATTTAGGCAGCTGGGTTTTTCCGAGTCTCAACGACAAAGTCCGATTTGATCCATTTCAGAAGTGCTAGTCAGATGTGATACCGAGCTCCAGCTGTTTGAAATACAATAAAAATAAATATCAAATCGGGTTTTTTTTCTCGATAATGATGAAACCAATTAAGATGAACTGTTAGAATCAGGGAAAACATCGCTCACATTGCGTGTTTAACTTCAACTTCGAGATGGTTATTGTTAACGTGTACACAATTTCTACTTTCACTTTCGAATTTTCTCCATATCGTACGTAGGGAGGCAGTACAGCTGTACCGGTAGGCTAATTTAACCAACTGAACAATAAATAGACCTAATAAAATACTAATGCTGATATACAAATATCCAACATAGCAAAGATCTGGCACATCGTTCACAGCCTACGACACAATACCGTAGTGAAAAAGCCTATATAGGATACTAGGGCCTAGTAGGGGCCTACAACGTATCGATATGTACATAACAGAGGGTGCGTCGATTTACCCAAATGGACCCAAATGGAACCCATATGGACCCAAATGGACCCAAATGGAAACTCAAATGGACCCAAATGGAAACTCAAATGGACCCAAATGGAAATCAAATGGACCCAAATGGAATATATAATATTTATATTATATCGTATTTCAAGTTTTAACTTATTTGAAATATAGAAAATAATGAAATTAAAACAAATAAAGAATATTATAATATCATTATTTTCTTCAATTGTATTTTTAAAAATGTGATTTAATTCTATTTGTAATAAATATAATTGAACATACTTGAATACAAAACTGAAGTATTTGATATTTTTTATGGCCGTAGGAACGGAGGTGAGGTGGGGGGAGGTGGGGGGGGGGGGGTTGGAGGCCATGCCTACCCCCTGCCCCTACCCCCAAATAATTTTGCCGGTATATAGAATACTATCAAAACTTCGTGTTTCAAAATACAATATTACAGATTATTAAGTTAAAAAAATCCATTTGTAACTGTAAGTTCATTTATTTTCATCATTTAAATAAGTATTAAAATACGATAATACATATTTAATATTCCATTTGATTTCCATTTGGGTCCATTTGAGTTTCCATTTGGGTCCATTTGGGTTCCATTTGGGTCCATTTGGGTAAATCGACGCGCCGCATAACAGATACAGATAGCCTGCAAGGACTGTTGAGTAATTATGCGTTATGTTGCTAAAGGCCTACATAAAGTTCAAACATTTAGGGACATGAAACTCTAAAAAACTTAATATTACAAAGACTACAAAATACTTACTTTTAACAGAGAATTGATAAACCCTTTTTCCTCCGTGTTTTCTATTTCTGTTACAGCTGATGACGTCAAACATGACGTACAGTTTCGTCCGATAAAAACAAAACCGATCCTGAGAAAAGCTACGGACCATTTTTAGCCGGTTAAAATTCAAATCCAAGTTGACATTTTGAAAGATAGACATAGAGCTTATAATTTAAGTCTAGATAAATTACTTTTTTTAGGAATGTATGAAAAAAAAATGGACGAGGTGAAGAGGGTACTAACGGTTAGAGCCCCTGCCCCCCTTTCCCAAACCCACGCGTGTAACACACCCTTACACAAACACAAAGGCACTTGTGTTGGAAATAAATTGTGTCGGAAATACTTTTTGAACCTATGGTATAATACTAACACAACTGTTATCTTTATATATTGGGGTTAAAAATTTATTTCCGACACAAGTGCCACCCCCCTCCTCCCCCACTGCCAACCCCCAACCCCGGCGGTTTTGAGTATCCACACATGAACATCTTAATAATTAATTAAATGTCACTAATAATTGGCAACTATTTTTAAAAGTTAGGTCTAAAATGTGAAAAATAACATTAATCTCATTTTATTCTAATTAACATGAAATTAACATTAAAGAATTAACGTTAAATTCACATTAACATGAAATTAACGTTAACTAATTAACGTTAATCTAACGTTAATATTTTGGTTCTAGTTTTTTAAGACAGAACCCAAGCCCACTTAATATTTTAATGTTAACTTAATGTTAAAAATTAACATGAAATTAATGTTAAGTTAAATTAACGTTAAAAATTAACATGAAATTAATGTTAAGTTAAATTAACGTTAAAAATTAACGTTAATTCAATGTTAACTTTTTTATTGTTAACTTAACACGAAAGTAACATTAAACTAACATCAAGCAAACGTTAATTTAATGTTAATTGAGATTAACACTAAATTAACGTTAGGCACAATTGGCTGTGTAGTGTTTGTGAATTTCTTCTGGAAACTGTGACTCTTAAAATCAGTTAAGCATATATTTGACACTTTTTAACACCACCATCCTCTTAAAAAGCGGCTGGATGAATAGTAATCGGTATGTCCGTCTGCCTGTCTGTTCCTCTTTGGTGTACCCATCTCTTATCCGCAAATTCTCTTTTACCACTGAGTGAAATTTAACAGAATCTTTATTACACATTGCCATTGTGCACCTCCTATTTTAATTTTTCATATTTCAAGAAGGGAAATAGTACAAAGAACAATAATGCAAAGAAAGAGAAATTAAACATTTTACAAATACACTTTTTTTTATTTCAACATAATATACAGTAAATCATCATTATTTTCGTTTAAGTAGAGTTCTTTTATAATTGTTTTTTTGTTAAAGTATAAGAAGTGTGTTTTTATGTAAATATGCTTTTATTAAGCAGATTATTTTAAATAATGATATACATAAATCTTAGGAAATAAGTAAACGTATACAAGTTCTTAAATTTATTTTAGAAAACCTTGCTAGAAATTCGGCATACAGAGGAGAAGCTTCACAGAGTTCCTCGCATGACAATAGATGGGTGACAGCTGACAAAGCCGTAGACGGGCATTTTCTGGGGCAGGGAAATAACGTCTGTAGTTTCACACGATCCTATTGGGGTAAAACAACCTGGTGGAAGTTAACTTTGATTCAGTGGTCCAATGTTGCATATTTGCAAATTTTCTTCAGAAAATTTAGTAGGCAATCAATTTATTTAGAAAATGTCTTTGTATATATTTTTTTAATATTTTTTATTAGATTTGTTTATCGTTCTTGATATAAAGTCTTTTTTAAAAAATGAACATGATATTGACATAAGTTAAGTGGAAAATGATTAAAAAAATCTTTATAGCTTCATAGCTCAGAAAAGGAATTTCAGTTCAAACCAGTCATTTTTTTTAGCTCGCCTGAGCTGAAGGTTCAAGTGAGCTTTTCTGATCACATTTTGTCCGTCGTCCGTCCATCTGTAAACTTTTCACATTTTCGACTTCTTCTCAAGAACCAATGGGCCAATGTTAACCAAACTTGGTTTAAAGCATCCTTGGGTGAAGAGGAGTTTAAATTATTAAAATGAAGGGCCAAATCCCCTACAAGGGGAGATAATCAAGTAAGGACAAAATACGGTGGGGTCACTAAAAAATCTTCTTCTCAAGAACCACTGGGCCAGGAAAGCTGAAACTTATGTGGGAACATCCTTGGGTAGTGTAGATATTAAATTGTTAAAATCATGACCCCCAGGGGTAGGGCGGGCTTCAATAGGGAATCCAAGTTTAACATAGAAATATATAGAACAAATCTTTAAAAATCTTCTTCTCAAGAATCACTGGGCCAGGTAAGCTGAAACTTATGTGGAAGCATCCGTGGGTAGTGCAGATTCTTAAGTTTTAATATAAAAAGGGAAGGGGGTAGTGAGGCATGATAGGCATAGAAAGAGGGGGAAGCTGGTAAAGATCTAAATCACCCAAGTTACTCAGGTGAGCGATGTGGCCCATGGGCCTCTTGTTTGTCATTGGTATATAATATTTTTTGTGTTGAAATTAAATAAGAAATATATGAAATATCAATTAAAACAAATCAAGATTAAATATAAGATTTAAATTCACCGATTCCATACAAAATTAATTAAATTACGCGCTTTAAACACAAATAACTGAAAATATGAACAGGAAAATATATTATGTAGATAATGTTAATGGATGTACAAGGTATGTCTCATTCGTTAACTTTTCATTCATCTTAAGAAGTCACCATATGCTCGTTATGGGACTTTTTTCTCCGCACTCAGGGCCATTGAGCAGTGAGGATTCTTTATCATGCTAATGCATGCTGTGACATGGGACCATCATGGATAATAAAAAAAATATTTTTAACCACTTCATTTAAAATTACTACATATATGACCTTATTGACTAAAAGAGTTGTAATTTCTAGGTTCCATGAGGTTTGCTTTAATACCCCCCTCCCCCTATAAAAGAGATCTAACCCTTAATCCCAAACAACTCCTTAGAATATCATTTTGACATACTCTTACAATATGCATGTAATCAATACATGCATATGGAAATTTATTTTTCCTTTTCCTTTAATAAAATTTCATTAGAAAAATTACAAATAGATACATTTTCAAAATGAATCAGTAAAACATAAACAATGAAAGGATATCCGTAAATTTGCCATATTTCGCAAATATGCGCCAGTGTTACATGTAAGAGCACTCCGTATGTTTTTCTATTCTTCGAACATGTAACAAAAGAACGACTGAAAATAGCAAATAAATATCTTTTCAAGTATTTTTATAAACAGTAACAATTACTTTTTTACAAATTGATCAAAAGTGCTTTCAAACTGATAATTTTAAAAACGGGGATATTTTTCATTGAGGGAGTATATCATTAATTTTAAAACAAGGAAATTCACAAAAAAATTCCCCGTCTTTGTTCGTCATTGTGACTTGAAGAGGCAATTTTTTAAACCATTGAAAAGTACAGGATCATGGTGACAAGTATAAAAAACACATTTGAAAACATTTTGACACAGTTAATGCGCTTTGTCAAATGTAAACGTCTCATTATGAAATATATAAAGATAACGAACAGTAGTCAAGCTCAAAAATCTATTAAACTAAGCAAAATAGGAGCACAGCAAACACGGATTCAAAAACATAGATATTGGACTCTATATTATACTCAATAAAATATGTTTAAAGTATAGATATTGGATCCGGGTGTTATGAAGGATTAAGCATCCATATTTTGTTTTTCTGTATTGTTATTTGTTTTCAAAAGTAGGTCAAACTTTAAGGTCAAGGCAACAGGGATAAAAGAATCATAGCATTTTTGCAAATACCTTTTCACTGGTTTTCTACATATGATTGATTGATTGTTTTTAACGTTCATCTCCAAAATTTTTCATTTATATGAAGACGCCACCCCTTGCCGGTGGAGAGCTG